TAATAATTTTAATCAAATAATTATCATTCATTTTGAACTATAATTAAATAATTCCAATCTAACAATTTTCTTATTATTCATTTTAAATAATAATTTAAATCATTTTAATAAAATGGTTCTCATATCATTTATTTAGAATGATAATTTAATTATTCAAATCAAATGATTTTCTAATTATTCTTTTAGAATAATTCTTGTATCATTAGTTTGAAATGATAATTTAATCATACCAATTGAACAATTTTCTTAACATTTTTTTAAACAATAATTTAATCATTTCAAATTAATAATTCTTTTATCATTCATTTAGAATAATAATTTAATTGTTTTAAATAAACAATTCTTGTATAATTTATTTAGAATAATAATTTAATCATTCTAATAGAATGATATTTATATCATTTTATTAGAATAATAATTTATTTATTTCAATAAAATAATTTTTATAACATTTATTCAGAATAATAATATTAATCATTTTAAATAAAATATTTTTTTATCATTCATTTGAAATGATAATTTAATTATTTTAATAGAATGATTCTTATATTATTCATTTGAAATATCACTACCAATACGATTAAATCAATCAATAAGGTAAATAATAATTTTTATATTATCATTATAATTTTTAATTATTTTTAATCATTTTTGTAATTATTATAATTCATTAAATACTTATTATTATTATAATAGATTAAGTTATTAGATTAATCAATGCCCTAATATCTCATAAAAATATCAGAATTTTATTTTAAATGTTGGTTAACAAATGATCATATGGTAAAAATTGCCTATTATCTAGTAAAAAATCACCATGAAAATAAAAATTTTAAAATTATATACTGTAATGAATATTTAATAAATATAAATACATTTCAATGATCTTTATTTTAGTTAATTTAACATTAAGGCTATTATCATTTATAATAACTGAAAATTTTTATGGTCTAACATTTTTCAAAATTTTCTTAATTTTAGTAACTAAAAATTTTCAGTATAAAATTCATTTAAAAAATCTGATAATTAATATAGATATTCCTTTTATTTAAATATATAATTAAATATTTTCAATAAGAATATTTTTACCAATATTTTATCTATCTAAAGTTTTTATAATTATATTATATTAAAATATATTAAAATTATTTAATTTTTAATAAAATAAAAATAAAAATAAAAAATACTTATATAATCTTAAGTCTTCTTGCTATTCTAAATTTCTATTGATTTTGTTATTAATAATTAATATTTCTTTTTCAATAAATATCTAATAAAATGTTTACAAAACACTGGTCAAAATAAGAAATTTCGGCATATGACAAATTGGTCAATTTTTGACTTAATTTCGGCTGATATTAAAGATCGTTAAAATTCGGCTTAAATTCGAATTAAATGATTGATGCCCGATTTTTGGCCAATTTTTAAACAATAAAATAATCGTTATAAATTCATACTACATGCAAATTTTGGTAAATAAATGTAATTATAAAATAAAGTTAAAAATTTAGTAAACCAATTTTTATACATATAAAGTTCTACAAATGTGAAATTTTTTATTAATCAGATTTATGGCCAAATAGTCTCTCACGTTTTGCTTATCTGTGATTCGATATTTTACTGGTACGAATCTTCTAAGGATGTTATGGATTGGAATGATGCAATCTCGACTTTCTAGATAAAAATCGGTACCCTATAATTCAACATTACAGGTTCTTTCTTCGTCATCAATTTTGAAGTAGTAACGAGAGCTTATATGGTGATACCACCTAATGTAGGCCAAAGTATGTTCGGCAGGACCATCTGGCAAGTCGAGTATATGTGTAAAGAAATATTGGACTTGCCCAGGATAGCAATCAACACTGCCATTATCAGTTGCAAATCTAGCCAAAATAAACGAGTTTTTCACATGACGAGCTGAAACTGCAGAGCCAAATATTTCAGAACCAATTCGACATCTCCCGAATTGGCTTATTTTGACTCAGATTATTATAGCATCTTCCGGTCCTTCTCTAAATGGCCTCCAGAATTTAAATGATTCATAGGTCGCCATATAATATTTGACCAACAAATCAAGCATTGAGTTCAAAAGCAATATATTTTCAGAAGAAGGTTTTAGCACTTCACCTAGAAATCGTTCTTTTCCAGTTATTGTTGATTCCTGCATTATATGAGAGTTTAGCCAAAATCAGTACATCTCGTCAAAAGAGAAATTATCTGTTGCTGACAAAGATCCAATGGTTGGTCGATTATTGAGCAAATCAAGGCCTTTCGTCTCAATTCCAGAATTTGTCAAATCAGCGATTCAGCTATCATTTATTAATCGACACATGATTTCAGGCTCGACTTACCGATGACTATTCGGTAAAGAGCTTAAATTAAAAATAAATTAACTACACACATGATAGAAATTAATTAACTGTTAGAAGTTAAAGTTTTCGACTTACCTATCATTCCATTCATACGTTCAAAACTAAAGCACTAGAATGCATACAATGGACTAAAATCATATGAACACTCACATAAGTGAAGTGAAAGGTGAAGATTTGGAGTTATCTTACCTCAGCCGTAATGTTCTTCGATTAACTTTATTATTTCAATTAACCTTTGGTGAGCTTCTCTTATTAAATCGATTTCTATAACTTGACTCACCAAAATTGTACAAACTCTTACAAAATGCGTAAGAATTTTATGATCCTTACTCAATAGATGTTTTCAGAGGGAGGCAGTGGCGTATATTGTAAAAAAGTTTCACTACTGATCGGCCGTCAAGTTCGCAAAACCTTCTTCACAATCAATTTTACTTGGGATTCGACTCAAATCGGCCGGCACTTGGAATTCATTCATTTTTTTCTGAATCTTTTCCAAGATATTTGGTGTTAAAACACCCTCTTTAATCCAAATTCGTTTTACAATCCATTTTGCAATGCCTAAGAATAGGCAATACATCAGATCGATGATAATGAACTGAATTGGATCAAAGTATGGTAACTGAAGTAATTCAGATCACCTTATACTATTTTCCTTGACGAATCTCTCTCTTTCTGCATTAGATTTGCAATGTCGCCAGTCCATTGCATTTTGGCAGTGTTGTTTCAAATCCTGAACGAAGAACCACTCACTCATATTATCCATTCCAGCATAGTTATGCTGTCAATTTTCGTAGTTCACTTTTTTTTCACATCTGTGACATGAAATGAGTGCCGAAACATATCTGCAGATCTTTATCACAGCTGAAATATCGCAGGAGACAAGGATTAAAGCTGTATGAATATATCTTCCTTCTTGATACTCAAATGTGTAATTTAGAGTCACTCCACCCTAAAGTGACTCAAGTTCGTCAACAATTGGTGCTAAGTAGTGATTAATTCTGTGTAAACTAACCTCATTTGGCCCAGGTAAAGACCAAGAACTAATAGATTTTCATGTTTGAATTGTAAATCATGAGGCAAGTTGCAAATTGCAGTATAGATGACACCAGTGCTATGGACAGTTCCGTCATATGGCTGGAATCAATCAAGGTTCAGCATCAGCCCAAGATGCGAATCGGTCACTTCATCTCAAAAAAAAATTTGGTGATTCTTTGTCACTTGTTTCTTTAAAATTTTTCCAGACTTGGCCATCGTATATATCGGTTAAAACATCAAAATTTGACTGATTTGCTCAATGTCTAAGGAAACTTTCAAAACCTGGTCGACGATATAAAGTAGCCAGCTGCTGACGAATCCTAACAAATGGATATATTAGTTTAGGTTGATTGGCTATTTGACCATCTAATAATTTTGTTTGTTGAGATAATGGCGTTTAACATAAGCGCATTTTCTGACTTGTTGAATTTGGATATTCAATGTGTTAATACTCCATAATTGCTGGAATTTCGGCCTGCTGGAAGTTTACTACCACTTTCTTCTGATACAATTTGTGACACTTCGAACATACCACAAAACTATGAAATCGATCTTTCAGATCAAGTTCCTTTCTTGCCAAATAAAGCGAGTCAGGGAAACTATCAAAGTCATCACCACCGATTTCTTTTAACACTATTTTCATAAATTTGATCAGAATTTCGGTAGCTATTTCTGACATATGGAATTTTACTTAAAAATTCATGATCTATATTAAAATCCATAAAAATCATTTATCGTTCATTGATTCTGAAACAGTTGGATCTTTAAACAGTTCGTAGTCAGGTGATGAGTAATCTTCAAAATTTTCAGCATAATCATGCTCAGTTTCACTTGATAAGTTATCATTATCCTCAGTATCGAATTTAGAAGTTTCTGTTGCTATATCATTATATTCAGCAGTAGGAAGCTCGATAGGCAAAGTTTGATGATTTGTATATCTATGTTTTTGAGGTAATAAAGCAGAATTGGGGTTGAGGCAAGTAAAATCATTGGCAGTTTTTCGATTTTCTTCAATATTTTGTCGATTTTGGTTAAGATTTTGTTCTAAAGCAGCTAAAGTTGTCAAGGTCTCTCCATGCTGTTCATTTTCGACATTCGGTTGAGGTAATTCAATATCTTCCTAAACTGGACAGTTGTTTTGCTCATTTAACACATGTAATCTTTTTGTATGTGAATCAACCAAACTTCTATTACATTTGCTGCAAAAACAGGAAACTTTCGACCTACTTTTGCTATTTGATTCGGTATTTGGTTGAGAAGTAGTTAACTCTTCATGAATTACACTCGATATTGATCTTTTTCTTGTCATTTTTTGGTTCTTTTAAAATTGATTTTATAAAATACATGAATGCGTTGTAATTTAAAAATTCGTTTCAAAAAGTTTATTTCTAATATATTATCATGTGAAAGTATATTTTGTATTTAGTCTATATAATTAAGCTTTCTAAAGTTTATTGAAATTCGATCGTATAAAAGAAGCCCATTTTCCATTTGGCTTCTTCAAAACACTTGTCACAATTTAACGTTTAAGCTAATACAAGAATATCGAAAGATTATATATTCCTTTACTTTTAAAATATAAAAATATAAAAGATGGCTCATCAAAGAAATAAGTCTCGACCAACTGCACCTACTTCAGAATCACCTGCTGTTACTACTTCTGATGGGTTTTAACTAGTTTTCGCTCATATTAAATAGAACTGATGCTAACACTTTCTTTTTTAAAAAATTCTAGCAAAGACAATTCGTCAAGGAACTAATTCTAGATAAACTATACCGGCCACTTCTAGTAAACAAAATAAAGAAAGAGACCTTAGCCAAATCTGATTGATGCCAAACATATGTCTGCCTACGAGTTTACATTTACCTCCTGTTAAAGAAAAAAGTACTTCAAGTTTACCAAACAGAAATGTTGACGATACAGGTACGGATTTTATTTTAAATTTTATGTTTATAATATTAATAATATACCGAATTTTATCTATTTATGCTTTTAAAAAAAAGTTGTTCAGTTACAGGCATGAATTGTTAAATTACAAAAAGACAACCAGAAGTTACAAAGTCAAAATGCAGCACTTTCCGGAGAGTTGAACAAACTGCGTCAGGAAAACGAAGCTTTAATTTTTATTAATAGGGAATTCAGAAAGGAACAGGATAAATTGTATGAAGAACTTAAACGAAACAGATCCTTTCAATTGCCAAGGACTTTGCAGTTGACTGCTAGGAGTTCAGAAGATGAAATTAACTCACAAGCCAATTTTGAATCGGATGATAAATCAGTTAAATGTCAGAAAACCAAAAAAAAATTTAAAGGAAAGAAGCCGATTAGAAGTAACGATGATGAAGAGGAATTGGATATAGATGGTGCAAGGGTTCAAAAATTTATTGATTTTCACTTGTTATACTGATTTTAGCAACTTTCACAAGATTATTTTTTTTTTAGTTTAAAATGAAGACAATTCTTAAAACCTTGCCAGCCGAAAACGAAATAAAATATGATGAAAGGTTTATAAGTGATTCGAATAATGAAATTTTACGAAAGCTGATATCAGAATTGATGAAAGCAATGAAGCCAAGATACAACCCTTCTTATAGTCAATTAAGGAGTTGGCTACAGGCTTTACATAGACACAGAAGAAGCTGATATAACTATAAAAAAAATGGTAAGCTCGATAAAGATAATCATCGTTTATACAACAACAGTCGACTTAATAAGGTAAATAAAGTTACATTTTTATTAAAATTATTTATTATTTATTAACTTTATTTTATTAAATATAGAAAAAATTTTGATGTATAAAAGGTGCCAAATCCCTTTTCAAAAAGAAAGATAATTGAGTAACAAAATATGACCGATGTTAAGCCTAAACACTACATTATTAGGATAACAAAGCTTATTTGCTAACAGGGAGTTTAAGTTGTAAACTATGAAA